CCGAGCCCCGCGGGCGCGTCCAGCGCTGGGTCCCCGCTACTGGGACAGGGTCCCTGCCCTTGGACCCGCGCCGGGGGCTCCTCTTCTCCCTCCTCTGCCCCGCAGCGCGGAGGGGAAGGGCAGGTCTCGCCATGGAGCGCGCAGGTGGCACCTGTGAAGTGCTCGTGCTGTTGGGAGTCCCTCCTGCCATAGGTGACCTGGAGAAGCTGTTTTCTGCCACTGCCCTAAAATTAACCCATCGCTTGTGGTCAATATTCGTCACTGAATGTTGCAGTCATATCGGTGGGGAGAGCATTATAGTCATTGCAACATGCTGAGGCATGAGATGCAGGAGGTTTCCTAATAGCTTGTAGCCCATTAGGGTAGTGGAAAATGACCCACGTTGTTTGTTAGAAAGAAAAACTTTCAGTTTACAGAGTGACAACAACACTTACGGGAGACTTCTTTTTTTCTTTCCTTTTTTTTTTCCTTTCCTTTTTTTTTTCCTTTTTTTTTTTTTCTTTCCTTTTTTTTCTTTCCTTTTTTTTCTTTCCTTTTTTTTCTTTCCTTTTTTTTCTTTCCTTTTTTTTCTTTCCTTTTTTTTCTTTCCTTTTTTTTCTTTCCTTTTTTTTCTTTCCTTTTTTTTCTTTCCTTTTTTTTTGTTCAGAAGCTCATGTTTGCAGTAAACTGGAGACAGAAGACTGTTAGTCACCATTTCCCATTGCAGGTGTGAGGGAGTTTGGAAATGGTCTTAGGGCGAGGATGTGCCTCATTGCTGACCCCTGCAGCACAAGTTTAAAGTTAGGGTTGCAATAACACAAATTGGCCTGAAAAATGAAATTTGGAAAAGAGTGAAAGGAAAACATTTTAGCTGCTGAGCACTGAGGTGCAGATAACAGGCGCTTCTGTGTTTGCCTTAAAGTGAATCTTCAGGAAAACAAGATGATGTTTCTAGTCTAGTTTGCTCTGTAATTTTCCTCCTCAGGCCAGCTAATACTGGAGGAAACAACACTGAAATCATTCACCTCAAAAGAGGTTTTTCCTGAGAAAAAGAATGCAACCATTGTATCTATGTGGATTTTGTGGCTACGGTGGGAAAGTGCCTTTGAATAGCACTTGCACTTGTTTGGTCCTTGGTCAGGAAAAGTTGCACTTAAACTAGGGTGACTTCAGCGTGGCTGGTGATTTTGTAAGGCCTGCACAAAGTTCAGCGCTAACTGACACCTGCATTACACTGGCTCTTACTGCCATGGTGTAGATTAGGATTTTTTTAAAATGTATTTCCTTTGGTTTACCTTGCAAGCCTATGAAATCTTTTACCCGAAGTAAATATTTTAAAGGCGAGTGAGATTTGCAGGGTCTGACAGGTGTAAAATGAAGGTTCAAGTTCTCTTCTTGCTCAAATTGGACACTCTTAGAACTACCGAAATTAGAGAGCTAATGATTAGGGTAGTATATTTAGAGACAAAATGGCCTTTTCTTGTCTTGCCCAAAGCTTCCACCAGTGAAGTCTTCCCCAGACAGGTGACCATAGGCGCTATCCTGACAGTAACAGCTCTGAATCCCCCGACCTACATTCATATAGATCCTATTCAGGGAGAAACCAGGCACAATATTGAGTAAAGCTGCTTTCTTGGGAAGCAAAATGACAGAAGTCACCCAAGGATCCAGTGCTAGGTGACACATGAGCAGAGAACTGCAAAGGCGGCAGCTCGAGATTTTTCCTTGCATTTATGGAGTACGAAAAAGGGGCAGTATTATATGAATCTGTTCCTCTAGGTCGGAGGCTTAACCTTCAGCAATACTCTGTGTGCCTAAGCGGGCAGGGACACGTTTGCTCCAGCACGAGCACATTTGCCCTTGGCCAGGCACAGCTGCCCCTTGTGTCATCCTCTGCGCGAAGGCTGCTTATTGACATGACTTCTTGTTAACTTGGCTATAGCCCCTTTGTGCCCTCTGTCAGGAGAAACCCCGCGCCGGAATAAATTCCAGGGCTGGCAGATTGGGACGGTGGGGCCAGCCGATGGCACGCGAGGGTCCCTGGCCCCGCAGCACTTGTGGCAGGAGCAGCAGAGGGTGCGTTTGGCCCATCCTCTCCCCAGCTGCTGGACTCAGGGTGGGGGTGAGGCTCCCAGGTAGACCCTGGGGAGGAGCTGGCCACGCACTAAGCACTTCAGTATCTCTGTGTGTCCCCACAAAGATCTGGGGGGAGCCCGGGCCGGGCAGCCCCGACGTGCGAGCCGGGGGCCGGTCGCCGGTGCACGTCCAGGCTGGAGGGCGCGCCCCCGGCT